TTAAAAATGAAATCTGAATAGTTTTTCCCATTAGAAACTATGGTTAGAACATTTACAAATAAGAGTCTAAGTGCTGTGTTACGAAATGGCCGAGGGTGCTGCGCTCCGTGTTACACTGTGCTGGCAGCAGTGGAAACTAAGGTCAGATGCTATGGCGAGTGGAAACAGGCAGCTGAGTCTTCACACAATGCTAAGGTTCCCTTTCTCTGACTCTCCCTCACACAGATCCTGCGTGTGGGTCCAGGATGATGTGACTAGCCAATGTCCATGCGCATGTCATTCGGGAGATCCCGAGTAACCCCGAAGAGAGGGAGTTCCTCTTCCCCTGCTCCCCGTTATTTCAGGTGTACATGCTCACTAAGTCAGAATCAAGAAATGTGATCCCAGGTTGCCCTAGGTCGGAGGTCCCTGGTCATTCCGTTGGCAGTGCTGTTGGCAGGTGCACTTGTGTGGACAGCACAGAGCTTGAGAACATGAGTTTAAGCTGGGCTTTGTTGCTTGTTCTCATGGTCCCAGCTGGGAGGCTAAGGTAGGAGGATCACTTGAAGACCATCCTGGGCAACATAGCGAGACCATGTCAGAAAAAAGAAAAGGAAAAGAAAAACCAGAAGGAACAAAACCCGACTTTGAATGTCTTGGTGGTGGCATGTGTATTTTCTCACCCCTACAGGCCTTACTTCTGTTGTCTTTCACCTTTCTGCTCTGGATCTGGCCCCGGGGTTGAGTTTGCAGTCCCTCCGTCTAGATGTGGGTGCACGGTGAGATGGTGAAGGTGTGAGAGACTTATGGGATTCGAGTAGGCAAAGAATTGGATGAGGTGGAGGCATGCATGAGCCAAGTCAGGAGAGGCTGAATTAGAGGGAAAATGAGGCCTGGGCTAGAGTCTGAGTATTTGGCTTTCCCCCAGTAGTTTTCACTTGCAGGGTGGGGTCCACAAGGTGCTAAGGTTGAGGAAGTCAAGATCTGTTGGCCTTACAAAGAAAGACCCTACTGTCTTGCTGAGGAAGGAAGCAAAGAGGCCGAAGGAGGCTGCACCCCCAGGCCCATGGCTGAATTTCCCTCTTCTTCTCAGCAGCCTCCCCCGCAGGATGGCTGGGGTCATGGTGGCACTGAGGTTCCCCGAAGCCTACTGACTTCTAGACACACACAAGTCATTTTCCCTTTCCAGCACACAGACTGCCAATACATACTGGTGGCTGGTCAGACCTGGTAAGTTAGGAAAAGGGAAACTCATCCACTGTTATTGCATGTGGATTACCTGGTCCCCTAACTGTCTCTTAGACAACACACTGAAAAATGTTTCATCTTGATTTTGTTAGCAATGATGTGTGCAAGGAAATCATCAGTGAAAGGTAACTCAGTTACTTTCTGAAAAAGCAAAGGGGAAAAAACAATTAAAAATCTTGTTTTTCTTAAATCAAATCCAACTCTTTCTTTGGTTGATTCCAGTCCAAGACACAGAATGTTTGACTTATTTAAGGGGGGGGAGGGGGAGAGGAAAAGAGAGAGAGAGAGAGAGAGAGAGAGAGAGAGGGAGGGAGAGGGAGAGAATGAATTTAGGTCAGATTGAGCTTTGAGAAGTTTCCCCTGCTCATTTTAGGAGTAGTCATTCGCATGACTGTCCAAATTGGATTCCCTGTTTCCCTGATATTGAAATGGTGATTTCTTTAAAGAGTAATCTATTCAGAGTCACCTAGTGCTCAGTGGCACACCTTCCGCTCCCAGGGTGGGCTCACATAGGGAGAGAGTCACAGGGGAAGGCTATGTCCGGTCACGGGACACCCTCATTCATAAAGATCTGCGGACCGATGCCCTGTCATATCAGGGCTTTTTTTTTTCATCTCTGGTTTATCATTTGCACCCAGTATCTCTAAAGAATCCAAAGTGTGTCAAAGATGCACGAACACATAGACCTTGGTCATCCCAAGTGGCTCTGGCTTGCCAACTCCGGGTCCCGTGGCTATGCAGACTGCAGTTAATACTCTTTCGTATTATTGGCTCAGAACTTTAAAAAAAGATTGATAAAAACCCCTTAATAATTTGTTTTTAATTTTTAAAAATTGAATATAATCCCCAGTGTAAGAATCCCAACAGTTTGAGTGAGTTTCCTACTGGGTTTAAGCATCACAGCAGGCAATAGTAAAATGTTAAGTACCTTAGAAAGTCAAAAGAAATGTGGAAAGCCATGCATGTATTTTGTTGACACAAAATTAAAACTGGGTTAGAGAAAGATTACTTCATGTAAGTCACATTGTTGTTAAATATAGTGAGTTATAATGCAACATCTAGGCCAAATATATAACTTCCTACACACTCGCATCACTTTATCTAGAAATGACATAGTGTTACTCAAAGAACATATTTGTAAAATACTGTGCACTGCTTCTGCATTGGGTCAGCAGATGTAAACAAACAGCTAATTCAACTGGAGTTGAAAATGTTAAGTTCACTTGTCATGTAGTCTCTTGCATAACATGCCAGTTCATCTTTTACAGAATCACAACTCGCCTACCACAGCGCAGGGGACTTGGCAGAAGATGTACACCAGCTTATAAGAATATTTTACAGTGGTCTGAAGGAATGTAGAAAACATAAAGCAGGTCAGGAGCAAAAATGCCCGTTGCACGAGGATGCTAAATAACATGGAATGGGGAACATAGTTAATCCTTGCAACATGTGCTTCTTTATTGAATGTTACAGATTTATAAATGATTATAAAGCTGTCCTGTAACGTTCATTAATACAACCACATGCTACAGCTATGCTGAGTTATACACAGGTTACATATATGTTAACATGTGTTTTATAATACAGCATTGCCCAACATATCCTATGGTATAGCCTATAGATATAGCATGATGGATGACTGGATAATATTTTCTTAAATTAAACAGCCCAGACATTCAGGAAGATTAGACTGTACAGCCTCAGAATAAAAGAAAAACAATGTACTATCCAGTTATCTACCATAATATTATCTATAGAGACCATATTTCAAGATACATTTGAAACATTCAGAAAAACACATTTTGTGTTTTTGAGTACATTTTCCTCACTTGATTATTCTTACACATGTATTTTAAAAGGGTAGCTTTCAAAGTGCTAAATAATGTCCTGGCCCTGCAAGCTTAGACTTTAAAAAAAATCCAGTTCTCTAAAGTGCTGCATTTGAATTGCTAATATACCTTTTGGCTTGCAGAAATAGCCGTGACAGTTGTACACAGCTTTCCCCACTTAAATCCATCAAGAAAGGGTGCTTTAGACTATAAATATAAAGTATGTGACTTAATCAGGAAACGTCTGTGGTGATTTTCATAAAACATCCTTAATTTTTTTCCCAAAAGGAACAAGCAATTTAGAACAAATCATTACATACAATAGTATATAAAAATTGGCACCTCTGAAGCAGACGATTAAACCCAAGCCATTACTTCCTTGAGCTCTCTATGACTTTATTTACAGTCCTCAATAACTTGCTGCTCATGAGTTGCTTAATTCACAGAAACAGATAATTATTAACATCCCCTCGATTAGGGACACGGTGGAATGAATGAGCCGAGCACGAGTTGACTATACAAGGCCACAGAATCAATGCCACACTGGTGCGCAGACAACCCGGATGTGGAAGGAGATGGGACTGAGGAATGACACACGTGTGTGCACACAGGAAGGAGATGGCTTGTGAAAATTACACAGTTTGTGTCTAAAGTCATTTAAATTTGGCTTATATACTTCACACACTTCACCAAAGATGTTAGTACTTAATTTTCATGCACAACAAAAGGACCAGGTAGTCACAAGATCAGGACTGTTAGGTATTTAGTTTCCCAGGTCGTATTCTTTGCTCTCTGGAAATCACGATGAATGGAAACACTGGTGCTCGTCATGTCTTCCCCCCACTTCCAGTATGGTCCAGTATGAGGCACTGGAGGTGTTTGGTGTCCTGCTCTATGGTCAAAGAATATTACTTTTACCTCTTGCTTGGATTCCTTTAGAGACTCTCTCAGAGAGCCTTTGGCTTTGTGAGTGTACTCACTACTCGAAATGATCAAACATTAGGATGTAAGGACATTGAACTAGCCACATCTAATCTAAGGAATAAAAGTAACAGAACCTTGGTTCAGACTGGTGCTGAGACTTGGCCTTCCTGAGAATCTCAGAGAAATGGTCTTAAAATATAAAGTGCCTGTTATGACCATACTGATTATGAACAAACATGGATCCTGTTTCTCATCACCATTCAATATGGAACCAGGGCTCTCTGAACCCTTTGAAGTTATATTGCAATGACATTACACATGCATGTACATTTTGGGGGTGAGGGGAATGTCCAGAGTATTCATTGATCCTCACAGGGATTCATGATGTGGGAAATTTAAAAGACACGCGCTTTATTCACAGACTAAATGGGTATTGACAGAGAGGGAAATTTACCAATTTGGGGTCCAAAAAACTAAAAAAGTCCCTAGAGCAGAGCAAATATAAAACAAAAAAAATTACTTTTGTTTTGTTTTTGTTTTTGAGATAGAATATTGCTGTGTAGTCCAGGTCAGCCTTGAACTTACTAGGTAGCCCAGGCTGGTTTTGAACTGACAATCCTCAAGCTTCAGCTCCCGAATGCTGGAATTGCAGGTATGTGGCACCATGCCCAACAGCAGCAGTTACAAATGAAGGAGTTGAAAGTTAGTGATTCACCTAAATACCAAGGAGTTAAAAGGAATTCTCTGTGTATGTGAACTTGTCACTCTTTCTCTACTGAAAGGGTTGCTCAGGTTTTTTTTTTTTTTTTTTTAATATTGAAAGGCTAGGGGTTTTGTCAATGAATTTTCTTGATTTCACAAAATAGGATATAATTTGTTATTTACAACTGCAATTAAATGAAAGAACCAGGTAGTATCTTGGACCAGGAACCTCAAGTCATTTTTCTTAAAGGTATTTTTGGTAGTGGGGATCGAACTCAGGACCTTGCACCTGCAAGGCAGGTGGTGGCACCACTGAGCCAAATCCCCAGCTCTTAAAGTTTGTTTGTTTGTTTTTGTTCATTTGTTTTGTTTGTTTGTTTTAAACTTCAGTGATCCATATAGCAATCAGAAGATTTGAGGGGTCAAGATTTCTTTATCCCAATTCAAATCCAGGTTCTGATCTACAAACTTATGCTTCTGTTCCAGAGTCCATAGTACGATCCGGGTTAGAACCGTATATCTGTTCCAATTGTATAAATCATTTTATAGCTTTGTGTAAGAGAAACTAGAATAAATGAGATGGATAGTAAGTGGTTTGGGTTAAAAAGGTGCAGCAGGCGGGTGGTGAGTCATTTTGACAGCTCTTGTTTGGGTCAAGGAAAAGTTAAGGTGATGGAGATTTAAAAAATCATAATTTCAAAATTTGGTCTAATAGTATAATGTACTCTCTGAATGGAATTTCTTGGACATTAAAAAATCGTGGCTATATCTCCAGGAGATAGAAAAGTATGAGCCTCTTAAAGCTCTCTATTTCTGTTTATATACTGTATATAAACATGTGTCTCTCTGTAAATGCATATATACGTATATAAGCAGCATAGCATACACTATAGAATTCTTTATATGATTTATTTGCCTTCTATTTTGGCCTACTTTTTTTTTTAATATAGCTCTGTGTGTAAGAAAAATATTCATGGTGTGCCTGCAACTGATGGCTTTGGGTTGATACCAAATTCCCAGTCAATTCTAAGGTTATTTATGGTTTTGAAACTTCCTTAAAAAGTACTTTGGAACGTTTCCATAAAAAAGATACCAGCCCTTGAAAAACTCCAATTAAATTTATGCTGAGCTCAGATTGGATGGCAAAACTCTAGGTATGAAAATATCCACATATAACCATGTATTCATATACAAAATAGTCATGTGATGGGAGTGTGGAAAATTGGCACTTACGTCCGAGGGGTGTTTAGAGGACACGGTGGGGTCATGCAAATGATGAAGGTCACACAGCAGCAAAACACATGACACAAATGGTGAGAATAGCGATATCCCATATGGCAACTTTAGGTTAGTTCTGCCCACTCTTTTTTTTTTTTTTAAATTCAATATTACATATTCAATGAATGAATTCATTGATGACAGGTGAGATACAAAATAAATTTTAAAATATAAAATTATTTAATTACATTCGTCCTGAGCTTGCTTGACTATGCCCACTGTATATCGTCAATCATGTGACTTTTGTTTTTAACATCAGCTCTTTTCTCATTTCACTTGCAAGACAAAAGGCATTTCTGTTCCCTTATTTTCTCCAAAAAAAGATAAAACAGTTGTGGCACCAGAAGTGAATATATAAGACAGGTGAACTATGACTGTTACCTTGTTTTTTCTTTAGAATGACCAATTACAGAAGTGTTGGCATGAGAAGGATGTGGGACGTTAGGTAGAACTGCTTGCTGCCGGCTTATACTGAATAAAAAGGATGCTCTTCATCAGTCACCAGTGATGGAGCCAATGTGAAAAGAAAACAGAATTGAAGTTTAGAATATCTCATTTTGTATGCTGGCTGTTTTATTTTATTTAGCCCTGCAACCTAAAACTCTTGATAATGGGCAGAAATCACAAGATGCCTCCTGGTATAGAGAGTGCTTGGAGCCCCCTGGTGCCCCGAGCTCAGGGCTGCCTGCAGAGACTGATACACATTCATCTCTAGCCTTTCCTCTCCCCGTCTTTCTCCTCCCTACCCAGCAGAGGCGAACATGCCCGAACTCCCCTGCGTTTGGCACTGGGTCAGATCTGTGGCCCAGAAGTCACCACTGTATTAGCGTCTCCCAAAGCACTGCGAGTTTTGTTCAGCTAAGAATAAAACGGGGTACGACTGGAGGGAGGGGCGGAAAGGTGGAGTTTGGGAGCAGTTTTAGGGCTGGAGTCGCAAGCTTTCCGCAACTCCGAGTAGGAAGGTTTTAGTTGTGCTTGCTTTCAAAGCTGTGGAAAGCCGATGTTCTGGACAGTCTCCTCATGGACAGGCTGTCCCCTCGGCCCTCCGGCTTGGAGGACTTGCTCCTCTGGAAGGGATTGCGCAGGCTTGCTGTGTTCCGCTGCCTGTCGAGTCTGTCGCTGATGGAGAAGCTCTTCCTGGTGTGTGCATACGCCGCGCTGGGCTCCTCCTCCGAGTAGCTGTTGGCGCGCTCGATCTTGGGAACCGCGATGTTGTTGGACAGGGCGCGGTCTGAGCTGTCCCCTTCCTGGGAGGTTATCGCGATGGTGGCTCTCCGGCCTCTGGCCTCATTCTCCTCACTGTCAGAGGCGGGGTGACTCAGTTCTGCCTCTCGCTCGGGGTGGCAGCACGATAAGTCCTCCACTTTGTCCCCCAGCGCCCCGGGAAAGGTGGCGCTGTCGGCAGTCACTCGAGGGGCGTTGACACACCGTGTGTCGATGCAGTCTGTGATACTGGTATATTCCGCCGTTTTCACGGGCACCCCAAAGTTGGCGTAGTAACTCCTCGAAGGAGAAGACATAAAGCTATGCGATTTCACGATGGGGGCCTCTTCCAGCAGAAAGGGCGCGGTGGCCAGGTAGCGGCTGCTCTTGGAGCGCTCGATGGCGTGGTACGTCGGCGGGTCGGAGTCCCAGGGGTTGTGGCACTCCGGGAGAGGGGTGTAGTCCGAAGAGAAAGATCTAGCGTCCGTGGAGGTAAGGTCTTCGCAGTCAACGCTCCGGCTCGGGGGCCTGTCTGTGGGCACAAGGGTCGCGTAGGCACTGCTGGAAGGGGCCGTGGAAGGGGCCAGCGTGCAGAAGCTCGGCTCGCCCAGCCCGAGGATGTTCATGGAATTGTCCAGGGGGTCGATGTCACAGTGGAGCTCATCCATGGCGGAGACATAGATGTCGATGCACGACGATGGTCTTCTGGAATCAGGAGCGATGGCCAAGGAGTTCATAGGCGCGGCAGGAGCTTTGGATTCTTTTGCTACCGAGTGGGAACTAGTAGCCCGGTGTAGGCTCAGGGACCTTTCTTTAAAAATACTCTCCAACTTTTCTATACCACCTTTGTCTTTCATATTGACCGCATAGAACGAATGGCTTCGCATACGGGGCATTAAGGTTGGAGAAGTTGGGGACAAGGTCTCCTCACCTGCAGGGTCGATGCTCTCTTGGAGCTTGAAGGTGTTTCCCTCCTGGCTGTTGAAGCTGCTCTGGCGGACTATGTAGGCGGCGTCCGTGCAGTCGGAGGAGGTCCTCGAGCGGATTTTGTTGGACTCAGCCCGCTCCAGACCGGTCAAGCGCTCCAGGGCTGTGGTCATGCGCCCGATGAGGTCCTCGAGCTGTGCCAGCCGGATGTCCACTGTCTGGAGGGAGGCCTTCATCGAGTGCTCTCTCTCGTTGACTTCCTCCAGCCGCATGGACATGTTCTCCACCCTGTGTGAGAAGGAGAGAGTGAGTCCTCTGCCGCGGGTTTGGAGAGCAAAGACAGAGGGCTTCCAAGCTATGCCCACACTGGGTGCCAGCCTGGCTGCTCTCCCGCAGGGAAACTGGGGAGGGGGTCACAGGGAGCAGAGGGGCAAGGGAGGAGGGCACATTGATCCTGTCCTTGAGAGTCACAGGATGCAAATCTTTTTGTGCTGGGGGAGGCTTTAGAGATAATCTAGTCCAGTGGTTTTTCCTTTTTCTTTTAATTTTTATTTTGAGTCCGAGCCTAGCTGCATTGCTGCTGCTGGTCTACACTCCTAGACTCCAGCGATCCCCCTGCCAAATAGCTGGGACCGAGGCATGTGTCACCATGGCTGGCATAACCCAGTAGTTCTTAGCTTTCTGCTTAGCATGCCCTAGGTTCTGGGTTTTCCTCTCTTTTAGAGCTGGAGTGTAACAAAGAACAGAACAGCTTTATTCTTCCTGCTTTTCTTTCTGGAGCTCAGCACACACAGGGTTTGTATTTGAAATAAAAAGATGATGCTCTCTTGGCACAAATGCATCTGATCACCGGCCCAAGAGCTGTGAAATATCTTCTTGTCATAGCCTCCCAGTGACCTGTCCTCAGTCGCAGGATCCAAAGTCAGAGAGAAAGCCAGCAGGTGCGAGGCAGTGCAGGGACAGTCTGTGGAGGAGGCAGGACCTGCCATGGGCATAGGGAGAACAGAAAGGAGCCAGGGACACAGGAGGAAGAGGCTTTTCTGGGAAAGCCTAGAATGAAGAAGGACAGTCCCAGGGAATGGAACAGGCAAGGGAGGCATGGACACAGAACTGCTATTAACTTTCCTGGGCTCTGAAGTGGGCTGGAACATAAGTCTTGCCTAAAGCCACAGTGAATTGAGTGATCCATTTTCTCCCAGAATTCTGTGTGCGTTTAATCTCTAACCATCTAACTGATCATTTATGTCATGGACCTAGCTGATAGGGGTTAATATGGAGGTTATGCAAAATAAAAGGTCCTAGGGTCAAATTTATATGTGTTTGTTCTGTAACTACAGTACCTCCTTTTAATCTTTGAAATCTGTTTTATTTTATTTTATTTTATTTTTATTTTTTTGGGTGCCAGGGATGGAACTCGGGTCCTTGTGCTTGCGAGGAAGGCAGCAGAACCACTGAGATAAATCCCTAGCCCCTAATCTTTTACATTTTTTTCTTGAAAAGTTAAGTGTAAATGGGCATGCATCCGAGATATAAGTTGGCTTCAGGAGCCAGCCAAGAGTTCTAGGTCATGCCTACAGCCACTTGGAGCTGATTCTGGTAAAGTAACTCAGGAGATAAAAGGAGAATTTATGAATCTGCAGGGGTCCCCAAGGAGATAGATACATAAACTGACACCTAAACAAAGAAAGAAGAAAGATAAGTAAAAGCCGTTGTGAAAAATGAGGCATTTATGGGGGAAACTCTTTTACTTTTCCATTGCTCACATTTCCAGACACTGAGTGGCTCATTTCAGAGTGTGATCAGCACAGGGTCCTGGAAAGAAGTGAGGTGGCAGGTGAGAGGGGAGGTGACAGGTGAGAGGGGAGCAAGCTCTTCATGTTTCTGATTGTGAACCTTTGTACTGGGATTGTCTAACGTTAGAGCAGAATAACATAATGTGCAACATGTTAAGTGGGGTGCACACTGTTAACTTAGATAAATCCCATCATGTGTGTCTATCCAGATGCATCTGCATACACGCGTGTATGTGTACATAGCTCTGTCCCTTCCCACCTCCCCAACCTCAGAAGAATGCAAATAGGCCTGGGGGTATCGCCTGCCACTCCCCGAGAAAGCACATGTCCCAGAGCAGGTGTGAGAAGGGCAGTTCGGACCCAGTGGCCCCTTGGTTAAGCTCTGTCCCCCTCTGAATGCCCCGGCATTTGGGTCGTGCCCAGTGCAGCTCCAGTGTTTCGTTATTTTTCAGTATGCTTATAAATGCATGTGTGTGCACACGGCACAGTTTTCTGGGAATCACACAGCTATGTGTCTGAGGCTTTTAAGGACCTCAGAATGAGAGAGCTCTTTAGATTTGTAGCTGTTTCCTCTGTTTGCCAGAAAATTACTTTACATTATATCAGAAAATGTTCTATTTTGCAGTGAACTCTGTGTGTTGCTTTAAACTTTATTAATATTGGCCTGGTACCTACGGATATCATCATTCAGCAGCATATGCGGATGTATCTATTTATCTAGACTGCACTCTTTTTTTTTTTTTGGTACCAGGGATCGAACTTGAGTCCTTGTGCTTGCAAGGCAGGCAGTGGAATCACTGAGCTAAATCCCCAGCCCTAGACTGCACTCTTTAAAAAGATAAAGGGACCGAAAAAGAAGGCGTTGATATGATTTCTACAGTCAATAGAGAATGTCTACTGTGGAAGCGCAATGCCACGTCAGGACTCGAGGTGACAGTGTCAAATCTCAGAATCCCGAGGCACATCTAGTCATCCACACACTGTATCGTTCTACACTACTTGTAATTTGCTTCTGCCATCTTTATATTGGGAATTGTTAAAATTTAAGTTACACTTATGCTTTGTAACACTCTGAGTATTCTTGCAAACAGCAGCTTCCAGCCAGGCGTGGTGGTGCACACCTGTCATGCCAGCACTTGGTAGGCTCAGGCAGGAGGGGTGTCATGAGCACAAGGCCAGCATGAACTGCATAATAATATCCTGCTTAAAAAAAAAAGCAAAACAGAAAATCCAGTGGTTTCTAAATGCTGGGCTTTGGAATACACCAGCCTACCGTGAAGGTTTTATTAGTCTACAGCAAAACAAGAGAAATAAAATGTAAGAGTTTTTACATGAATCTAGAGTTATTAGACTTAAAGGACATTTTTAAAAAACAGCCCCACTAGCCCTCAAATCTATTTGGTTAATGAGACCTAAAAGTAAATAACCATTGGGTAGAAAAACTTGCTTCTATTTCTTTGTTTTTATCTTGTTCTATGAAAAGAAGAAAACCACCAACTCTGAGAGAAAACAAACCATCAATGGTTTTTCTCCTCACTTTACAAATCTTTTGCTGTTGTGTTTTGAAAAGTATTGAGCACCACCTGAGGCAGGTACTAGGATATTTCTACTCTGCTGGAGAAGATGCTGAACACGAAACAACCCTGTATGAGAGCAGAAAGTTGGGCTGGGTCCCTCTTGTTTTGTGTCCAGCCCTGTCTCCGTGGTTTTTACTGTCCCAGGGGGCAGCTGTTACAGCCTGCAGGAGAAGCCCAGAATCCCTACATCTGGGGTTTTCAAGTGTAGACACAGGGTGTAGGTGGTGCTCTTGCCTCCCGGGAGCTCCAGGATTTCTTGGACAGTGCAAATAAACACAAAACCTCTATGTTTGGGGACCGAACATAAAAAATTAAGTTGGCCCAGCACACAGATTTCTCTGAAGGTGCCCCAGGAGCGCACCTTTCCGAAGTCACTCGGATCCTCTCATCATTGGACGAGTTGAAGCGATCGTCCTTTTCTCTGAAATATTCTTCTATGCACTGCTCTTCGAAATCATGTACTTTTTTGAGCTCATCATCAGTTATGAAGAGTTCTGTGAAACAAACAAACAAACAACGAGAGCCATGAGACCGAGAAGTAGAGGTGATGGCATCCTATCTATGGGCCTGATGACATTCTTCAGAAAAATCAAGTCTGGGGAAGAGAGCCTAGATTCTAAGTCTCTAATGAAACCTAAATCCAATTAGGCAGTTCACATCAATACCTGCCCGCTGAGCACTAGCTTCACTCTGGGTCTCTGGAATTCAACCGAGTGTATTTGGTATACTGCAGTAGCTGCTTAGAATGAGGCAAGTGATAGCTAATATGGCAGTGCATGCCTGGGATCCTAGTACTCTGGGAGGCTGAGTCAGGAGGATCCAAAGTTTGAGCCCTGTCTGTGCAACTTAGCATCACCCTGTGTCTGGAAGGAAGAAAGGAAGGGAGAGAAAGGAAGAGAGGGAGGGAGAATTAGAGGGAAAGAGGAGGTAGCCAGTCAGACTTGGGGTGTAGCTCAGTGCAAAAGCCCTGGGTTCAATCTCTAATATAGAGGGGGAAAGGAATTACACAAGTGAGAAGACCATGGACATAGCTAAATCAAAAAAGGGGAAAACAACTGAAGATGGATATTTCTTTTTTTGAGACAAGGTCTCACTATGTAGTTCAGGCTGGCCTTGAACTTGTGATAATCCTGTCTCAGCCTCCTAAGTGTTGGGATTGCAGGTATGTACTACCACATCGGGTTGTATTTTTTTTTTGTTGTTGTTTGTTTGTTTTTTTTTTTTGGTATGGGCAATCAGACTTGGGTCCTTGTGCTTGTGAAGCAGGCAGTGGAACCACTGAGATAAATCCCTGGCCTCTGTTTGCATGTTTTTTGAAAAAAAATTTCTGGGCTGGGGTGTGGCAGGCAGATGTTGTTGATTGACAACCTTTTCAGAGCTCCATTTCCCCTTTTCCTCTCCCCATGATCGAGGTAGGAATGCCAAATACATATTTCTACTCTCTTTTGAAACCATGAGATGCAGTTTGGGCCAAGAAACGAAAGAAATCTGCTACAGGGAGAGGTAGTGTATTGGGAAGAGATTTTGCTTTTCTGGTAAAATAAAGAGATGTGGTTGCTTCTTTCTATATTTTTTAAAAGTTTGTCTCCCTTCCTACCCCCGTCTTGAACACAAGCATGATAAATGGAAGTGCAGCAACTATTTTGTGGCCATGAGAGGTAGCCCAGAAGGAATTCCTGGGCCTATATAATAGAAGGATTTAGGTCTTTTACTTCAGTGAGCCATTGCTGGGCTTTCTCTTTTTGTCATGTGAGTTAAAGAAGGCCATATTTATTTGTGTTATTGTTACTCTGGTTTTCTGTTAGTAGCCCAGTGGAAAGGTAAACCTTTAAAAGGCATATGAATTAGGGTCAGGGAGAGAGCTGCTTTGGGAAAATGCTACGGACAAGTCCTTCTTCTACTCCTGTGCCCTTGAAACCCCTGAGGGGTTGTCTCAAATGTTTGGAGCCTTGAATCTTTAAGCCTAGGGATTTTACCTCCTGAGATTGCGCTTGTTTGCTTTGAGGCCTTGGGCTGAGCTTGCTGGGAGCATGGAAAATATGAGTGTAAAGCAGATGAGAGTGAGGGAAACACAGGCCTCCGCCTGCTCATCTCCGACAGGGCCGCCTGTGAGGCAGGGGAGGGCGTCTGAGCTCCAGTCCTGAAGTCACTTAGGGCCTCGGGCTGGAAGGAGAGGGACGGAGTGAAGGCACGTATGAGGCCCCAACCACAGACTCCTTTGTGCTATTGCTATATTGGAGTCGGAAAAGAATGTGCCAAATAGTTGCTCTTTTGGCCCTTTATTTTGATTTCTTTATGTGTAATACTCTTTTTATAAAAATATTCTTTTAAAAGTTCCATCAGTGTGCCACATTTTACAGTGTAACCGAAGTGGCTCTTGGCGGGGGGCGCGTAGGAGAAGCTGGTAGTGTCTCGGGACCTTCCCCTGGCTGAGAATCGTGGTGAAGGACTCTCCTTGCTGCCTTTCCCCTTTCTGACCCAGCCACAGCTCTGAAATCCTCCTCCTCCCCCCGAGATCTCAGACTCTGCTCCCCTTGCCCGAGTCCAGAGGCCGGGTGATGCTCTCATTCCTGCTGTGGTGTTAACAACACGGATCCCGCGAACCAGAGCTTTGTGAGCTGCGCCCCCGCCCCCCAAACCTCATTGTCTGGCTGCCCAGGTTCTGTGGCCTGAAAGCTGTGGGCCCGGAGTGGAAACAGGGTCTCTGCGCCACCCCGGGTCCTGTGTTGTACCCCAGACTCCTTTCCTAAGTGCTCCGGGTAAGAGCTTCTCCTTTCCCAGCCAGGATGCGTGTGGACCCTGGGGCGCAGCATGCACTGGGCTGCTCATGAGAGCCACCGGTGCTCTGCTGGGGCAGCCCAGGTGCTCTCTGCTGCCTGGGGACCAAAGCTCGGGGTTTAACTCCTAGGTTACCCTCCCTCCCTCTTTTAAGCTATGTGCCTAGACTTGTGTTACAGGTGGAAACTGATTTGGGAATGCCCAGCTCTTTCCAACTCTCCCATTTTAATGTTTAGAAAGAAGCCAGGCATTGCTGTGTCAGGGAGGTTATTAAGAGAATCAGACTTAGAGAAGCAGTCCAGTGGCTTTTGTTGTCAACCTTGGATATATTGGTGTCACTCAGAAGGAGGAAGACTCCTGGGCCACCATCCCAGAGGCACTTTTTGTAGATGTAATGTAGGTGGTGGACCAGCCACACTTGAGAAGTTTGTTTGCATGGGGCTGGGCTACTTGTGTTGTTTCTAACTGGTCATTGGTGCCCAAGGGGCATTTTGGAATCTAGGAGCTACTTGCACCTAATGTGTGGAGGTGGACAGGCTACATTTCCTGCAACGTGGGGCACAGAATTACACAAAGGAATCACCCCACCCCAGGGCCAGTAGAACTACTGCTTCCTTTTAGAAACACTGGGTGTGTCTAAACACAGAGGTGGAGGATGGAGAATCTTCTCTTTTGTCCTTTGAGTAAGTCTCAGTTCTTCTTGAGGTCACAGAGGCACAACCCCTAGGGCTTCGGAAAGTGTTTCAGACCTGAAAAAAATGAGAGCCCCAGAAACTGTAATGGAAAATTGAACTTAGTCACTGAAACTCAGCTCGTGTTATGGTGCTTAAAAATGGTATATAAGCTGGATGTAGCAGAGCACACCTGTGATCCCAGCTGCTGGGGAGACTGAGGCAAGAGGATCACAGGTTTGAGGCCACCCTGGGCCACTTAGAGAGGACCTGTCTCAGAAGGGGCAGGGAAGGGATGCAGCTCAGTTGTAGAGCTCTTAGAATGGTTGCCTAGCATGTGTGAAGAAGCCCTGAGTTCCATCCGCAGCACTGCAAAAGCAACAATGGAAGTTATAAAATGTAGCATTGGGTATATATTAATGTGGCTGATGTATTTTGTGGTGAGACCCCCTGGCAAATAAGATGCTTAGGACCTATGAAGGTGCTAAAACAGCCCTGATGGAAACAGGTTTTATCTCACTAAGGAAGCAGTGAGGCTAAGGACACCACATTTCAGCTTCTCCTGTCCTCCCGGCACTTTGTCCCATGCCCCCTGCGGTCCGCAGCCTGCCTTCCACGTGATGCCTATAGGGATTTCCAATCGTGGTCCCTGGGCTGTCGCCAGCAGCTTACTCAGGCCATAGTCCCTCTCATCCGGGTCACTCTCGTGCTTCCTCCACCGGCAGCACAGGTGCTGGAATATCATGGTCATGTGGCTGAAGATGATCAGAGGTGGAGGCAGGACTGGCCTTTCATGGAAAGTCATGATCAGCTGATACCTCTGAAACTTCCACACTTGGTTGGATATTGACTTTACCTCAAAAAATGTATTGCTGAAATGGATCAGAGACAAGTAAGTGAGAAAATCTGTTGTTTGAAAAGCTTTACACCCCCGCCAATCCTCTATCCCACGTGCACTCACTTAAAGACAGCAATCAGGAGGTTGACCAGCAGGATATTTGCCACTAAAAGGTAGCAGGCCATGATGGCTGGGACAATCCAAGCTCCTGTCTTGCAGGGAGGCAGCTGGATGATCTTACCATCCTCCCGGGTCTCGTTTTGTCCACAGGGAGCTGGAGAAAGCAATACAGGCAAAAAAAATAAGAGACAGGGGCTACCTGAGTTATATAGATAAATAAATAAATATATATATATATATGATTGATTTGAATGAAGGATTTAGATGGAAGAAAACACAGCCATCTCAAACAGAAAAAAGTTCCAAAAAGCCAAAATACAAAAATGAGAGCTTTATGAATATCTCAAAGGGCTGCCACTCTAGTCCTGCCTGTTTCCCAAGCTGTCATCCACTGGAAGAGACTGTCATCCTGCTGTCCCTCTGCCCCTGATACTGGTCAGGGGCTCCTCTGTGCCCTTAGATGCCTGGTGAGGACTTTCCTGGGGAACACCAAGGAGCAGAGGCCTGCTGCCCTGCAAGTTACTTTCAAAATGTGCTGTGGAGGTCACCAGCGTATGAACACCAGCACTCCAGGGCTATTGATTGGGAATTAACACTGGGGCAGCTGTTAATTGCTGTACGAAATAACTCAAAGGCTCAGAGCTAATGATTTGCTGCCTCTGGACAGAAGGAGCAATGGCTCAGGCAGTGTTTAGAGGGCTGTCTCTCCTGATGGATGGGATTTCACAGGGAGGGCAAGGAGAGCCGATGGTTGAGGCTGTGAAGCTCACAGCCGCCTGCTTTTTGTCCAGCAGCATTTTCATTCCCAGTATGCTTTCCAGAGCACAGGAAACAAAGCCTAACTGAAGTTCATAAACAGGCAAATGGGGGAAATGAGAAGATCTGGGGGTGAGGGTGAGGAGGAAGGTGATGTGTGGAACTGCATGAGCGTGAATAATGTGCTAACGAGGCTGGCTCGTCATTCCTAGGTAAATGCCAGCAACAATAAATCCTTGACAATGCTTCCCAGTGCTGCACCAATGATGTAGCCTTAGAACAGTGTCTTCTTGAGTCTACCTGTGAAAGGGAGCTTGGATGGGAGAGTGGCCAGGAGCACCAACATCTCTCAGCAGTTGCCACAGGATGCCAGGGGGTTTGCAGAACAGACTCAGAATCTACTGGGCTGGAGCTCCTGGCAAGGAGGGTACCGTGGTGGTCCAGACTCTTCTCCAGAGTTACTGTTGCAGGGCTGTGCACTCTGCTGCAGTTCTCAACCCTGGCTTTCCAGGACTGATTGCACCCAGACAACTGCATCAGAGTCTCTGAGGGGGACCCAGGTATCACCATTTCTTTTACAATTTTCCAGGTGATTCTCAGTTGCTGCAAAGGTTGATCACACTGAGCTCCTACTGGGCTGGGAAAATTACATGATTTTAGACTCAACTTTTTGCTTTTATGGCCAGGTCTAAATGGTCAACATGCTTCCTTTGTTTCTGCCTGCAAGACAATTGGATATGGACATTGGATGTTTTCTAGTAGCCAGAATTTTTTGTTATTGGCAGATGTGGCCCTGACCACCCAAGACAGCCTTGTAAGAGGCCCTCATCCTTTCCTCCCTTGGAAGGAAAACCCAGCGGTAGAGGCCACGGTGGCTTCAGGATGAAGTCCCAACTTGGGCTGGCTGACCCAGTGCCATCTCCTGTCACTGCCCACCTCTCTCTCTAGGCACAAACTGGACCATTTCTTCCAACAACATGATAATCACCACAGACCCAGAAACAATGGAGCCAAGTGACCACCGAATAAAACTTCTAAAACCATGAGCTGAAACCCTGAGTGTCAGAAAGGGGGCCACTACCCTCGTCTACATTCCATTCAAAATTCTCAGTGGGAAAAATTGCTTTTCAAGGTATCCCGGCTGAGAGGGGAGCCAGGAGGACGAGCAGTGCATTTCCATAGGCATTAAACAGTGGCTTCAGTGTCGCTGTAGGTGTTCTGTGTGCTTCTGTCCTGTTCCTCAAAGGGCCTGTCTAGCTATAACTTGGAGCAGCTTAGTGTTGTCAATAAGATTTGATTTCATGTCGATATGACTGACCCTGGGAATTCCCTGCCAGTCCTTTGGGTGTTAATTTATTCCAGCTTCTTCAACCTCATATTTTTTCCTGCCAGTGTAGATGTAGCATTAATGTAGTGGCTAGGAACATGAATTATAGTGACAACTTGAGTTCAAACTCTGACTGCACCATTTTCAAGTGACTGGTTCATTCCGTGGACTTCACCATCCTCACTTGTGAAATAGGAGAAGTGATAATACATACCATGAGGGGTTGTCATTTGTTACGTCACATAAGGCATGAGTATTAGTCAGCTTTGTCACTGGAGAGACTTAGTACCTAATACAACTTAAAGGACAAGAGGTTTAATTTTCTTATGGTTTCCATTACCGACTGGCTACAGGACAGATACATGATGGTGGAAGAGTGTGGCTAGCAGAGTCTCTTAGTTCATAGCAGCCTTGAAGCACACAGCCGCGGAGCACTGCCAGAGTGGAAGAGGTGAAGGGGCAGACACAGACACCCAGTGTATGCCTCCATGGCCCACCCAGACACACCCACAAGTCTGCTCCAACAATGTCCAGTGTGGATCCCTAAGCCAATCAACTTGAAACTCCACCTCTCACCACCTCAATTCACCCCTTTCAACTTCTTGCCTAAATATAAACCTAAATCTAGACACTTTCCTTTAACCATACTTACTCTCTAAATAAAGATAGCAAATTAATAATTTTACCTAAGATAAAGCTACTATACAACATACAACCAGATACCAGTAATCCTTTCCCCAATTTCTCAACAGTTCCAGCATTTTCTTTTGTTTTCCTCATTGAGTTTAGTGGTACATTTTAGGTATATAGTACAGTACATTCATTAAGTTCCAGCATTTTCAAAAGTCCAAGTCTTGGGTGGGGGATTTAGCTCAGTGGTCCCACTGCCTGACTCACAAGCAAAGGTCCTGAGTTCAATTTCTGATACCAAAAATAACCAACCAACCAACCAACCAAATAAATAAATAGATTGTAGGGCCCAGGATTTAGCTCAGTGGCACTGCACCTGCTTTGCAAGTACAAGATACTGAGTTCGATTCCTGGTACCACACACACACACACACACACACACACACACGCACACACACACACACACACATGCACACAAAGTTCAAGTCTTTTCTGAGACTCAAGGCAAACCCTTGGCTGTGAACCTCTGTAAAAATAAAAACAAGTTACATTGTACAGCAATCCCACCTAAATAAATAAACAAAAAACAAGTTATATAATCCTGAGGCACAATGGCTCAGGGAAAATATTCTTATCCTAAAAAAGAAGGACTAGGAAGATACCAAAGAAACAGACCAAAGCAAGACAGAAAACCAGCAAGGCAGACATTAGGTCCCATAGTTCCATATCCAGGATTCAGGGCACACAGTGGTAAAAATTGAGTTCCAAAGGTCTTGGAGGTAGCTTCACATCTATGGTTTTGCCAGTTGGAGGTGACACAGCCTCCGCCTTGGTCTGGCTGCGTTCGTTGACTGAAACTTTCCTCACCAGACATTCTGTGTTGCTGGCATCTCCGACTTCTTGCCTCCACTGCAGGGTTGGCTTCATCTCCTCAGCTTCATGCACAGTCCTCTCAGGAGCTTCTTACCTGGCTTTTCATGTCTTCCTTTGAAATTTGAGTCTAAACCTCCCTGGCTCTACAGCTCTTGTATTTTGCATGCCAATAAAAATCAGCATTAGGGGATGCTATCATAGTCAGCTGTCAGCAGAAGTAGCAGTCAGCTCTCTTTGGACCATAGCTGTATCAGCCTCCAAGAGCCTCAATGTCTGAGTACAGTGAAATGAATCCTGGGGAAACAGTCCCTTAGGAGGTGCTTATCAAGGAAGAATCCTGGGAGCTTTATTCTCAAAAGAAAGGGTGACAAATTTTGTACCATTGAACCTGCAACAAGTGGAGTCTTGCTCATGCTTCAGGTGCCCTGAAGACATCTTCTTTCTTGTCCCTGAAAAAATGCTTGGTTTCTTTTGAATGATGCTAATCTTTTTAGCAGCCACACCTTTGGCCCCAACGTGGTTCCTTTTTTCGGCTCTGCCCTTCATTCCCAATTTTCACTATAAATCTGGCTAAAAGCAGCCAGCAGCACCAATAGCTTGAATGTTAGGCTGTCTTGAAATTTTCTTCAACAGGTTAGTTTCAGTCTCCTGTAAAAGTCATGGGATGTGGGCTAAATGGAGAAAAATCTTCTGCCTGAGTGTAACAAGATGGCCTCTAGTCCAACTGCTGATGGAGTCCTTGTTCCTACTGAAACTTCCTGTTCCTGGCCTTTATTTTCTCCATTTCTAGCACCATTCTGGTCTTCTGAGCTCTGACCAGAATCTCCCATCAGTCTCTTCTTACTCTGCTTACAGCGTTCCAAGGCTTCTCTAGCTGGCAACTCCAAAACTTTCCAAATTCCTCTCGCAAACCAATTTCAAGGGCTTCTAAACCACATACTCAGGTGTAGTCATAGCAACAACCCCATTTCTTTGGTAACAGTTTTCCGTATTAGCTTTTTTGTTGCTGAGACACAATGTCTAATACCCACAATTTAACAGAAGGAGATGTTGAATCTGTTCATGGTTTCCGTCCATGATTGGCTGTCTGTATCCGAGACACTGTGGCAGAAGGGCGTAGCAGAGCAAAGCTGCTTAGCTCATGACAGGAAGCAGAGCCGGGGGAGAGTGCCGAAGTGGACGGGGCAAGGGAGCAGACATAGATCTCAAGGTTGTGGCTCCGTGACCTACCCAGACACACCTGGAAGTGTGCTCTGCCAATCCCCGAGACAGATCCCAAAGTCAGTCAAGTTGAAATACCACCTTGACCACAACAGCCATCAAAGCCTATGGCTCAGTACTTAGCGCACAGCCCTCAGTGAACACTAGCTGATGTCATTATTAGTATTGTTAGTTTTGAAATTAAGGGACTTTAGGTTTCTTGGGTTTAGGGGCTATGTCTTAATTCTCTTTGTTTTGCAGTCACTAAACACAGCACTTATTCTATAAACATTTACGGAGTGATTAAAACAGACTGGCTACAGGGCATATTGGGAATGAGAGACTATACTAGTTAAGGAACTCACAAT